AGTTTTACAAACGTTTTAATAAAAGTTTTACAAACGTTTTAATAAAAGTACATCAGAGTGGAAATACTCCTGAAAGTACTTTATTTTACTCATCTCTCTCATCTCTCTCATCTCTCTCATCTCTCTCACCTCTCCTCTCCCTCATGAGCGTTTCCAAGGAACGGGCGGAGGCGGGAAGATGAAGAATCCTCCAATCAGAGCCCTGCTCAGCACCTGCTGGTCCTCCTGGCCCCTCAGCCACCGCAGGAAGCTCCAGACCGGCTGCAGCCGCCGGTAGCTCATCCGGGGGTGGTGACCCTGCCCTGCCGGCCCATCAGAGCAGGTCAGAGGTCGGGCTGGAGCAGGAGAGGAAACGGCAGGGTGAGGCTTACCTGTGCAGTACACCTGTGTGTAGGTGGTGTTGGTGAGGTAGAGCCAGCCGGGGTTCTGGTGGGTTGTGACGGGCCGGAGGCGGGTGCAGACCACCACGGACACTGCAGACAGAGCAGGAACATCTGGGCTGCTGCTGCTGCTGCTGCTGCTGCAGCTGCTGCCAGGCTCACCTACATGGATGGAGCTTCAGCTGCGTCTCGGGCTGCGACGTGGAGAACAGCTTCACCATGATTGGCTGCTCGCTGCTGCCGTCCTCCAATTGGAGCCAGCGGTACTCCAGAAGCCCCGCCCCTCGACCATCTGATGTGAACAGGAAGTGATGTGATGAAACAGAAACATGAGACCAGGAACAAACAAAACAAAATATAATAAAAAACATCAGTTTCGTTTTTTTGCTAAATGTACCAAGAAAAAAGATCCATGTTCAAAAACCTGATAATCCAGTAGATTCAGTCTGACTGGGGTCAAGGTTTCAACATGTCTAGATGCTGTGGTTCCTAACACCCTTTCAGAAAGCTGTTCCCCTTCCCGCCTGTGGAGGCGCTGCACAAAAACCACTGAAGGCAATGATCTGAAGAAGACACTGAGCGTAACTTCCTTCTTCATGAGACGTGAACCCAGATGGAGTGTTGGAGTTTTTAGCCGCAGACCTCAACATGAGACTAGCATGTTTGTTTTGGTCATATTTACCCAGAATGCCCTGCACTGTCGTCCACTTCACGTCGTCTAACATGTTTTTAGTGACGGTTTAACTCCACTAAAGTTCAGAGTTCACAGACGACTCCATGACAACAAGACAGACTCTCAGATTATTGAAAAACAGAATAAAAGCTGAAAATTTTAAAAATAAATATTTCAGACTAAATCTGACTTTGTCGTACCTGACATCAGGTTTGGGGATGATAACCCAAAAGGCCCGAAGACGACCGGGTCACATCTCTGTCTCACCTTTACTCCGGACTCGCTCCGACCGCCCGGCGAAGGTCAGCAGGCCGATGACATCACACAGGGCGCCGTGACGACGCTCCAGGAAGTCCTTGCTGGTTGCATCGGATGACAGGACAGGCGGGTCAGCGGGCGGTCTGGACCGGGACAGACGGGGACAGACGGGGACAGACCTGTTGTAGAAGCTGTATGACGGCGCAGGCGGGACGCTCTCAGGTGAGACGGACGACTCGGAGACGACGCAGAGCTGAGCTGCCGGGTTCCTGCTGTTCACACTGATCTCTGCAACAAAGACGGGCCGGGTCACGACTGCAGAACCTGGTCCAAAGAGCCCACATCATCACCCCTCCACCTCCAATCCCACATTCAGCTGTTCTGGATCAGGTTGGTGAAACTCGGTGGAGGACAAAGTGAACTTCACCTACAACCTGGGAAATGTTCGTTTTTTCTGAAAAGCTTCTTGTCGGTTAGTTTTCTTATTTCACAGGTACCAGGTATTTCCACTAGTTACCACAATAAAACACATTTAGTTTTTTGCAGTGCGCTGAAAATGTTTCCGACTCCACAGGAAGTCCAGAGTTCCTCGTACCGATGTCGTCGACCTCTGCCGGGTAGTGCTGTTTGACCCGGAAGCGTCGCAGGCTGATGATGTCACCGAGCTCCAGGCGGCGGTACCAGCTGACACACACACTGTTCCACAGCACCACACACACACTTCCTGTCCGGTCGCAGGCCTGCAGCACGGCCTGCAGCACACATGGAGACAGCGGTAGGGCACGGCGGTGGAGGGGTGATGCTGCGGGCCGAGGGGAGCGGGAGCTGCTCAGGGTTTCATCTGAAGGTTTCTTTCTGGACGGATTCATTCGCAGCTTTGCAGATGAAAATCGGCCCACAGCATCACACGTCCTCCACCGAGCTTCACACTGTGCGTTTCCCACTGACCTTATATGGGCATTCACAGTTCCTGTCTGTCCTGCCGTAGTACATCAGGTGGGACTTGTTGATGATGCGTACGATCAGCTGATGCTGGATGGCGCCCCTGGTGACGCTGCGGCGACCGGACCGGAAGCGTTCCCGCAGCTCGGACACGGTAACAGACGGCTGTCGTCCTGGCAACACACACAGGTGATGTGAGGGATCAATTAGTAACTCCCCTGATGAGCCTGCGCTGTGATTGGCCCCCACCTTCCTCCTGCTCCTCCTCCTCCTCCAGGCTGTCAGTGGGCGGAGCCTCCGTCCATTCCTCGCCGCTGTAGTCCACGTTATTCCACAGAGGGAGGAAGACGCTCCTGCTGGCTCTGAGAGGAAGCAGCGCACCTGACCGCCATAAACCAATCAGACGGCAGGAAAAACTCATGATTCTGCTGCAGGGGTGTCCAAAGTGTGGCCCAGGGGCCATTCGTGGCGCACAGACTCACATTTTGTGGCCTCTTAAAAGCAGGTTAATACTGATACACCTTTTATTTTTTATCAGAGTTAAAAATAATTTATCATTTTCTTGCAATGGAAATGATTAAATATAACACAAAGTAGTCTTCTATTAATTACTTTTCTAATTAATAGAAGCAAATTAATCCAGAGTTTTACTCAAAATCTGACAACCAAACCAGTTTCTAGTAATTCATTAAATTTGCCAGCATTTTGAAAGAAAGTGACGCAAATCCTGCTTTTATAACCGACAATAAACTTTTCAATAAGAATTTGAAAACTAGACGCCTTCAGTTTAATAGAACAACTTTGCAAAACCATTTTAAATATTTGGACCTACAATAAATAACATCAACATTTTCTGCATGCCGAAGCATTCATCACATCATAAACATAAATAATTCTTGGAAATCATTCCCATTGGAAATAAGCTTCTTCAGGACACTTGCTTTAAAACGTTTGGATACTGGTTCTGCTGGTTCTCACCTGCTGGTTCTGATGGTCCGAACCAGGGCAGAGAGTCCCAGTCCGCCTCAGACCTCCTGACTCCCTCCTCCTCCTCCTCCTCATCATGATGGTCAACCTGAACGCCCACCAGCCTGTAGCTGCAGGGGGCGGAGCCTCGGTCAATTCCTCTCATGACATCACCACACAGCGTCTCACCTGGCTGCACTCACCTGTCTCTGTCTGCAGAGGCCCCAGGGCATTCTGGGAGTTGGGCGCTCAGGGCCGGGATGAAGGCAGCGTTACGGAGCGTGGACCCCGGCTTCAGGACCCGCCTCTCCACCAGCCGGTTCAGACCGGGGTCCAGAGTCACCTGGAGGCGGCAGTCACCGTCTGTCAGCGTCACGTCATACAGGTCCTCACCTGGAGACAGAGGACAGATGAAGGTCACAGAGGTTAGAGGACACTGTGTCTGCCTTGTCTCTGTCCATCTCACCACTCAGGACTGCCTGGGGGAAGTAGATGGCGGACGCCGGGTCTCTGCTGTAACGACGAATGTCCACAACATGCAGGGACTCCCTGCAGACAACTGGAGAGGACGAAGACGCCTGCAAGACAAGCAGAAGGGGAAAAAAACAAAGAGATATGGAGGAGAACACAGACAGAACCATCTACAACAGGGTGACTGATCCCCCATTAAAATGCAGTTTCCAGTCTGGATGCAAGGAACATGATTTTACTAAATAAGATGCGCCAGCAGGTGATTGGTCCATTTTATCTCATTTTGATCACAGGTCCGAATCGCTCATCTGGTCCAATTAGGGATCGGAACCAATCAGGGGCAGCAAAATAAAGCTTTCAGAGCATAAATAACTTATGTCAGATTTTATTATTTTTTTGACGTTAACAAATAGACTAAGTAGAAAGGACAGCACTCAGGGATTATATTTCCCATTCTAAACCTGCTTAGGAAATATTGAAATTGAAGCCAACCAGCATTATTTTCATTAATTAATAATTTTACTGATCTTTTAATAAAATAGCTGCGTTATAAGGACCACAGAGTTAATTCGGGATGAACTGATCAATCTCAAGGTTCTTTATTTTAACAGTTCTGAAGTGATCAGAACCTGACCTGTCAGATTCACAAAACATCATCTACCTGCGCTGCACCGGTTAAAATCCATCAGAACCGAACCAGCTACAGCTAATCAGCTGCTAATAAACAGCCGAACTGAAGGTCTGGGTGCGTTTCATAAGAACCCGAACCAAACTGAACTCCACAGAACCGCTGCTGTTGTTGATAAGCGGAACCGCCTTAAAGCAGCTGGTTCTGAGTGGAGTCCGGTGGAGGAGGATTGGCTCACAAAGGCGGTTCGGAAGCCGCTAACAGCCGCTGTTGCTCCCGTTCAGCTCATCGGGACGGTACCGGTAACAACAGAACTCTGGGTTCTGACCTGGTTCGGAGCGGGTCTGGACCTGGCCAGGGTCCTGTGAAAGATGCAGCCGTCGGCCGCCATGTTAGCCCTGTCAATTCCAGAGAGGTGCATTGTGGGAAATCGAGGCTAACTGACATCCGTGGAGCCTACAGATGGAGAAATTATTCCTGAGTGGAAATGATTCCTTTATGGAGAAATAAAATTACGTCTTCTAATTAATATTTTATAAAACATATATTATAATTATATATTAAAACATTCCTTTTTATTTCTTTGCTTCCTGGGCTAAAATCGTGTATGAACTGAAACTCCTGCTGTGTTTCAGTGAAGAAAAGGAGAAACATGATAAAATAGACAGACATCATTTAGTAAAATTAAATCTTTATTCAACAAAACAATCACTTAATTGTCTGTTTTAAATAATTAGCTGTGTTTAATTTCTGTTAATGTGTTGTATTAGTGTGTTAATGGTTTAATATTGACTGTAATTTAATTTTTAGTGATAATATTGTCATTCTGAGAATAAAAACATTTTATCATTTTTCCCATTTTTCATTTACTCCTCAGGTTATAAAGTTTCAGACTGATGGAAATATTTGTGTGATCGTTGTGATTTTTTTACTGCATACATGCATCATGTTGAAGCTTCAGTGAAACATTATTTTAAATGTTTATTACAAGGCTAGCATGTGGTTTCTGGTTCTCACCTCCCAGGATCTCTGAGCCACTTTCTGTCCCTCCTCACCTGATTGTTCTGCTGTTCTTCTCTCGTCTGTTTCCTGTTGTTCTGGTTCTGTGTTGTTTGTTGTCTTAAAATAAAAATCATTTTTCTTCTATCTCAGTCTTTGATTAGCTGCTCTCTCTTTGCTGGTATTGTGTTACTTTTAATCATAAACTAAACTCACCTGTTCCTCATGAAGTGACAAGGATCTTATTCTTATTGAACTGTTTACTAAAAAAGTAAACAGAAACCATCTTGCTGAAAATGACAGAAAGTTGTTTTCCTTCTTTTCAATAAGGATCATATCTACAATGACTTGAGTTCAGCTGCATTCTCATTAAAATATTGAAATACAGTTGTAATTATTGTTGTAATTTATTTGGAAAATAAAAAGTGACCCAGAAGTCCTTTAAGGTTCAGGACTGCGCTGCGTCTCTGCCTGAGCAGAACTCTGCAGAACCCGACCGTCGGTAGAGTTCAGGTTTTATTTAACACGTTTAATTATTAACAGGAGTCACAACGATTTCTCTGGTTCTGCTCCTTCATCCCTGCTGGTGGTTCTGACCGGGTTCTGGTTCCACTCCTCCAAAGCTTCAGGAAATGAAGTCAGACTTCCTGAATGTAAAACTGATGCTGATCACCTGCCATGGTCTGGATTCAGGTCGACATGTTGGAGAAGAGGTGATGCATTCGCTGCCACTGGGACGTCCGAGACTCAGATGCCAGCTGCAGGCAGGTCAGAGTTCATGTTTCACTTCATAAACTGTTTCTCTCTGGAACCAGAACCAGCTGCTGGATGTAAAATGACCAGAACCACTTGGTTCTGTACGGTTCTCCTGCTCTCTCCCTTTATTTGACAACAGAACCAGAGAAATAATCTGAAACCAGAACCCCTCAGTCATCCGAACCCATGCAGCACTAAGGCCCCTGACCTCTGACCTCTGCCTACACTCGGCTGGTGAAGTGCTGGGAGTCTCTGAACTCCAGGTAGAGGCTGAAGAGCAGGTGCAGGCTCTGGACCCTGGTTCCGTGGACGGGGATGTCCAGCAGGCTGCAGACCAGGTCTGCGTACTGCGGCAGGCTGCAGGCCAGGCGGGCCGGCGGCAGCTGCAGGGCCCCCAGCAGCTCCTCCACCTCTGGGGGCCACTCCTGCATCAGGCTGTCCAGGTCCGGCATGGTTCTGCTGTACCGCACGCTGGCCGGCGGCTTGGACCGGTGCAGCGCGCTGATGCTGTCCACCCAGCTGTCCACGGCCCGGGGGTTGGTCCGCGGGCCCGCCACGCTCGGAACCTTCTTCAGCTGCAGCGGGGAGACAGAGCGGGGTTCTGATGGTACCGGACCGGACCCTGGAGCCTGCAGGTGTGTGCAGGTGTGTGTACCTCTGTGGTTCCGTGCTGTTTGGTTTCCTCCGACAGCCACAGAGACAGAACCGTCGGGTCCGACTGCTTCACACTGGGCTCATCCAGAACCAGTAGGCCCAAGTTGTCTGGTTTTCCATCCGGCCTCGGTACCTGAACACACCACACACATTTCAGATCAGGGCAACCCAGTTGAGACGGTTCTGAAGTTTTGATTTAGACCCAGTTCTGAATCAGGGTTCGTTTTCCAGCAACCTTAGAACAAACAGAACCAACTGTGGTTCTTAGAGTTTATAGAGAACAGCTGGGGTTCTGTCCAGGACCGGTTCAGAACACACTGGACTGCGGTTCTAAAACCATTTAAAAAATGAATAGAAGGCCTGGTTCTGACCCGGCTCCCAGTGTTTGGTACCTTTAGGAAGGCGTCGATGTCTCCAACAGCAGGGATGAAGTCCGGGATGAAGGGCTTGAGGCAGAGGTCCAGTTCTTGGTTCGGAGGAGAATACCTGAGAGGAAATTGACCCATGTGTCAGATCCAGATGTTCTGACCCAGTGCAGCATGTAGAACCTGCAGAACTCTGATGCTGGACTGATTCTGGACTCCCTGAAATAACCTTTTCAGTTCTACATCATTAACCTGTGAAGCTGCAGGAGAACCAGATGGTTCTGATCCATTATATAACAATAACACATCACATCCAGATCAGAACCAACTGGACTCTTTCAAGCATAGAGCGCAGAAACCAGAACCTGTAGCTTCAACTGCAAATGCACTGAGAAAAAGCCCAGGTCCATTACATGTAGAACAGAGTGAGTCAATGTCAACATTCTGCTGAAACCCACATCCTACTGGTGTCATCATGCTAGCATTAGCACTCATGCTAACGTTAGCCTTGAAGCTAAAATGTATGTAATAATTCTATATAGTAAACAGAACAGAGTAAGTAACTATTAGTGACTAATATGCTAAGGAAAGCTGTTTAGCTAACCTTCACATTTTAATTAATTTTTAGCTCATTCAAGTTCAAAATATAGTCTATAGCATGTGGGCTGTAATTAGCATGCTGACTATTTTACATTATAAAACATTGATTTCATACTGATTGGACTAAGTCCATATTATCAGAACCAACCCGTCCGGCTTTGACTGAGTTGGACAGATGTTCAGAACCTTCTACAGTGGAATTCAGGTCCTTGCCAGAACCAAAGGTTCTGTTGGTTCTACATGGTTCTGATGGACTGAGGTGTGTGTCTCTGGTTACCGGGTGATGTACTGGAATAACTCTCTGATCTCAGAGGTGACCGGCAGGTTGGAGTAGTCTGCAGGGTCGTACACTCCCTCCAGAGTTTCAGTGGGCTCATCGTCATCGTCATCTTCATCAGACTCATCCTCATCGGAGTCCTCCTCTTCTTCCTCGTCCTCGTCCTCCTGGGTCAGACCGGGCCCTGGCTTCAGCCGCAGCGGCTCTGTGGCCCTCACAGCTCTGTGCTCCTCATCCAGCTGGTTCCTGCTGCTGCTGGACATGATGCCAAGAACCTTCTTGCTGCTCCACTCGGTCTGACAGGAGGAAAACATGGAGGTCAGAGAGAAGCAGTCTGACCTCTGACCCCTGAGAATCAGCTCAAAGGTCATCAGGAAGTAGAAAACCCTAATCTAAGAGGGGCAGGGCTGGGGAGGGGGGGTCCCTTTATTGATGTTTAGAAAAAACTACATTAATCTGTGAATTATTTCAAGTAGTCAAAAACTGAGGAAACATATTTTATTACTTTATCTGTTAAAAACAAATATAAAAATAAATTGTTAAAGCTGAATATTTATATTTTGCACAATTTTCTAGAGGGGAAATAATAAAATTAATCTTTTCTGAGCCTGAAACTCCCGAGTTTTATTCTCCCGGCTTCCAGACTGACCAGCGGGGCTCAGCAGGCTGTGGCCGGGTACCTGTCTCTGTCCTCGGGGAGTCGGGCTGTAGACACTCGGTACCTCCTCTCCGTCCTCCACGTCCAGACTCTCGTCGTAGGGTTGGTTCCTCAGCAGCTGGGGGTCCTTTCCCCGGTCAGTCCGCTCCATGAGACACAGCTGCGTGAGGAGGTTCGGATGGTACCTGGGTCACAGCAGCTTCAGCTTCAACCCTGATGTCCCGAAAGCTAACAGAACTAGCGGAGCTTTAGCCCGAGCTAACGGAGCTAGCCGCTACCAGCAGCTCGTAAATCGGCTTTTAAACGACTAAAACCACAAAGTAACCAAGTAAAAGCGCAGCGAAGACTTCAAATTCATCGTTTGGAGACTGAAAATAGTCGCCTGACTGCAGTTTGAATCTGTTTATCTTCCAACAAACGCTTCGTGTTACAGCAGTTACCAAGCAACTGAGGAATGTACCGTATCCTAGCAACAGAAGAGGGTAGGCAGCAGATGACGTGGAGCATCAGCGCCACCTACTGGTCTGGAGGAGGAATCAGGCGTTCAGAACCCGGAAAGGCATAATCAACAACTCACTAACGTTTTGCAAATGTAGCCCCAAATATATAGTTGAAAAATGTTGGTTTGGGTTCTGAGTCCAAAGACAGTCCAATCTCTTAGATATTATGTAAAATCAACTTTTTGGAACTCTACATCATGTTATAATATTATTCTCTCATCAAAAACATACCTGGAGTGTTACCTTGATATTTTCATGCATGTTTGAGAAATCCTCTAATCTCCAGGACAACCATTCAACTGTTCAATACACCTGGGTCAACCGAGCTCCATCTCCGAGGCGTAGCTCCTCCCACACTCGTCTCCTCCAGATTAACAACAAGGCATCGTTCAAACACCTTGTTGGACTAAACGTCTGCTGAGCTACTTCTCAGTGAACCTCTGATAAACATGTTAAAGGGTTAATAGAGGAGCTGTGTTGTGATGACTTTCTGAAGGCAGAGTTTCAGTAATAGCAGGAGCTTCTTAAAGAGACAGAAGCCTAATTTCAAGGCATTAAATAATGACATCAGATTTCTTCTAAGTTATAGTTGAGATGTAAACATAAAAATATAACTTTTTTTCTAACATCTGAAGACAACATTGTAACTTGATTGTGCTACACAATAATCCTATATACCTAGCTTTGGGAAGTCCCTTTATAAAAGTTCATCTTTGACCCAAAGATGACTAAGTTTGCCACAAACTGCGTCAGAGGAAGTCAGACCGTTTCAAAACCAGAAAACACAAACTGTACCAGAGGTGAGAACAGCCTGACTTCAGAGTTCATGTTGTTGCTATGCATCTTCAGCTTCCTTATTAAACATGTGCCTTTGTTTCTGCACATCAGGGTTTTATGCAGTTTAAGGTTCATTTAGCTCAGTTTCAGTTTTCACATAATCTGACTAATCAAGTTGCTTCACCTTTGAGATTTGCTTTAGTATCATTCCCTGTGAATATTTAAAGAACAAACTTAAACATTAACTCCACATTTTATTCCAAAGTTGAAGATTACAGTTTAAACAAATTAGTTTTAAAAAAAAAAAAATAGAAGCCTTAAAGCAATGTTCCCAGAAAATGAAGAGGAAGACAGAGGCAGGATGAGACTGTCTGGTTCAGAAGTGATACTCTGTGGTGACGTCATCATCATCATCATCATCATCATGTGCTACCAGCTCAGCCTGGGGGGGCGGAGTCATCTTCACACACGGTGACGGGTCACTTCCTGTATTCAGAGGAAGTTAAAGAAAAACACATTTATTACCATGAATGCAACTAATTCAGGAGACTGGATAATAAGAGACATTAATAAAGCAAATATAATATATAATAAAAGCAGAACCAGTGAAAACCTTCAGTCAGTCAGTGATTGGTTGGATCATCAGGTCAGGAAATGATTCAGGGTTTTACCTTTGGCTCTGAGTCAGATGAAAACCCCAAGAGGAAACTGCAGATGAAGAACAGGAACATGACCACCAGGTGGCAGAGCAGAGTGATGATGAGGAGAGGGGAAGGTGAGCAAGTGGGCGGGGCTTCAGTTGTGGGCGGGGCTTCATGAGTGGGCGGACCTCCGGCTGTGGGCGGAGCCACACAAACTGGCAGGGCTTTGGTTGTTGAATTTTCTGCAGAGAGAATCCAACCCGATCAATTCAAAATTTATAGATGAAACTGAGGGCTCATAGTTTGTCAAATGTAATTCACACTAATTAGTAGAATAAAAATTATATATTTGTTTTTTCTATTTGCAAAGAATTGGGAAAGTATTTATTCTATAATCTGTTTTAACGCCAACAAGAGGAATTAGGGATTCAGACATGATGAATAAAACATGTTGCAAAACTAAATAGAAGCAGCTGACCTCTGACCTTTGACAGAGACCCTGCTGGATGGAGACTCTCCAGAACCGCTGATGCTACATTTATAGAGGCCTTCATCAGAGCTGGAAACATGGAGGAGGGTCATGCTGCCTGCTGATCCATCACCAATGAAGGAGCCATCTTTATAGAAAGCAGCTGGGAGGTTGTGGGTTGGATTCCTTGCTCTGCAGCTCAGAGTGACGTCATCTCCCTCCATCACAGGGAGGACAGGACTCTGCAGGATCACTGATCCTTTCAACACAGAGACAAACTACAGCATTTCATCCATTTCCACACAGCAACACTAACTCCACAGTCTGATCTTACCAGAGACAGAGAGCTGGATGCTGCAGCAGCTGCTGCTGCTGCTGCTGCTGCTGGAGGATCCAGACTCACACCAGTACAGACCAGTATCCTTCTGGAGAATGTAGGTCATGTTACAGGTAGAACCATCAGTTTCTCCCCATCCATCTCCACATGGCTTCCTGGTCTCTCTGCTGGTGTTTCTCCTCACTGTCCATCCAGCTGATCTGTTTTCATCCTCACAGATCAGAGTCACTGATTCTCTCATGAAGAACTGGGATCTGCTGGGACTCACAGTCAGATGAACTGAAATAATAAAACCTTTCATTAGTTCCAGCAACAGGATCCAGTCTAGATCTAGAGTTATCAGAATCAGGTTGTAACCTTGGTTTGTTGAGCGGCTCAGCAGAGAGATCAGAGCTGCAGAGAAATGACTCTCAGGTTAGTTGGAGCTTTAATCAGCTCTGCTGTGGGAAGCAGCAGTGATCGTCTCTCAACATTTGCACACATCCAGCAGATGGACTCACCCAGCAGCCTGTGGACAGATGTTCCCTCCATTCTGCAGCTGGATCCAATGAGACCAGCAGCAGTTTGACTCGCTCTCTTCCTCTTGCCTCTCGACCACAAAGTTTTTGCTGAACATTTTGAACATTAATAAAAACGTTTCTTGATCACATCTTGATGCTCAACTTAAAGACTTTTAACTTCAGTTTCCTGATTGTCAAATCATCTCAAACTTCTGCATCTTTTATTTGGTTTAAACTTTTGCTCTTGTTTCTTTTCTCTCATCTTGTTGCTTCAGATCATTTTTGTTGCATCTGAGAGGAAACCAAAGAGCAGAGAGGACTGAGAGTGTGAAGCCACACAGTTCATTTATTCTCTGACCTCAGATCATCAAGCAGCAGCATGGAGGAAACATCTCTACTGAGGCTGATCTGTAAGTTAACGACTCATTTTACTCTGCTGACTTTATGGAGGACAAACTGCAAGCTGATCTGAGATTCTCTGCAGCTCTGATCTCTCTGCTGAGCTGCAGCTCAACTCATCTGACTGTGAATCCCAGCAGATCCCAGTTCTTCAGAGGAGAATCAGTGACTCTGATCTGTGAGGATGAAAACAGATCAGCTGGATGGACAGTGAGGAGAAACACCAGCAGAGAGACCAGGAAGCCATGTGGAGATGGATGGGGCAAATTAAATAGATCTACATGTAACATCAGCAGCCTCTACAAACATGATACTGGTCTGTACTGGTGTGAGTCTGGATCGTCCAGCAGCAGCAGCAGCAGCAGCAGCAGCAGCAGCAGCAGCAGCAGCAGCAGCAGCAGCAGCAGCAGCAGCTGCAGCAGCAGCATCCAGCTCTCTGTCTCTGGTAAGATCAGACTGTGGAGTTAGTGTTGCTGTGTGGAAATGGATGAAATGCTGTAGTTTGTCTCTGTGTTGAAAGGATCAGTGATCCTGCAGAGTCCTGTCCTCCCTGTGATGGAGGGAGATGACGTCACTCTGAGCTGCAGAGCAAGGAATCCAACCCACAACCTCCCAGCTGCTTTCTATAAAGATGGCTCCTTCATTGGTGATGGATCAGCAGGCAGCATGACCCTCCTCCATGTTTCCAGCTCTGATGAAGGCCTCTATAAATGTAGCATCAGCGGTTCTGGAGAGTCTCCATCCAGCAGGGTCTCTGTCAAAGGTCAGAGGTCAGGAACGTCAGGTTCAGATCAAAACATTTTCTCTCCAACATTGAACTGATCAGATTTTCTCTGTCGAAAAACCTTCAACTTTAGCTCCGCCCACTTCTCCACCTCCTCCCTCCCTCCTGGTCAGGCTGCTCTGCCACCTGCTGGTCTTCTGTCCGTACTGCGTCTCCACTCTCCTCCTGGTGTCTTTATGTCGACACAGAGTCAAAGGTGAAACACTGAAACATTCACTGACCTGAAGTCAGAATTTATCTTTATTTTTTTAACTTCCTGTGACTGCAGGAAGTGACTCTTCAGTCTCCATGGTGATGACCCCACCCAGCCAGACTGAGCAGGGATTGGACAGTGACTATGATGATGTCACCACAGAGCATCACTTGTGAAATCAAGAGATTTTATTATAGATGCTGTATGAGCAGCTGCTCCTCTCTGATCGCTCCCAGTTGAACAGAGAATTTAAAAAATATTTCATTCTCATTGTTTTATTGAAGCCAAATAAAGATTTTGGGAACAACTGCAAAAATATATTCTCACCTTCCTTCACTCAGAAATTGGTCAGTACAACTGAATTCTTGCATGTTGCTTTAAATAACCAGAGCTTCTGTCTTCAGCATCATTTGACAACATTTGGCCTCAATGAAAAGATCCAGCTGGAAAACATTCAGGTTTGAAAACATCGGCTTGTGAGTTCATTGTGGAAATCTCCTTGAATGTTGATCAGATACAGACATTTATTGTGCAGTAGAAACACTTTTCTGGGCAAACATGGAGAAATAACCATGAAACTCATGGAAAAGCTTCTTTAAAATAATAATTTCTGCTTATAAACATGGTCAGATTGTTTCCTGTGTAATTGTGCGGTAAAAACTAACAATAATATAGAAGGTCGCACAGGGTTAACTGGGCAGGTTGTAGCTGTCATGACGCGTGTTCCAATAACTTCCAGTGGCTCCTTTGTTGTTGTTACCATCAATTTATTTCATATATCATCTTAAATACTTCAGACTTTAAAACTGACACATGCTGACCAGGCTAAATCATAATGATGCTAACAATAAACTATATTTAACACGGTCAACAGAAA